AAATACCAGTGGAGGTTTTAAAGCCTTGTACCAAAGTCATCCTTTTAAAATTTAATCTAATTATGTTCCATCTCAGGTTTAAACCCTTTAATGACTCCCATTGTCTTCATAATGATGTTCAGACATCTTAGTATGATGCACACAGTCTTGTACAGCCTGGTACCTTTTTTCCTTCTCTGCCTTACCGCGTCTCCCTAATTCTCTAGGTTACAACTATCCTAAACTGCCTATCTTTCGTACTAGACTATAAGCTCCTTGAAAAGAGAAAATGTTTTGTTTTGTTTTGTTTTTTGAGACAGAATCTCGCTCTGTTGCCCCGGGTAGAATGCAGTGGCATCACCGTAGCTTGCAGCAACCTCAAACTCCTGGACTCAAGTGATCCTCCTGCCTCAGCCTCCTGAGTAGCTGGGACTACAGGTGTGCACTACCGCACTGGCTAATTTTTCTGTTTTTTGTAGAGATGGGGTCTCACTCTTGCTCAGGCTGGTCTTGAACTCCTGAGCTCAAGTGATCCTCCTGCCTTGGCCTCCCAGAGTGCTAGGATTACAGGCGTGAGCTACCGTGCCCAGCCCTTATCCATTTTTTTACTACCCTCAGTGCCTCTATGGTGCCTTGAACATGATGGGTCCTATATGAACATTTATTGAACTGAACTGTATGAATAACATGCTATCAAGTTTCCCTGAAGATTTAGCATCTCAGAAGGTGCTTGATGACAAGATGAGGAATCAAGATAAATTAAAAAGTCACAAGACATTTCTTAAAATTCTTGTTTTCTATTGAAACATGAGATGCTTTAAGAATTAAAATCTTGCTTTATATATCATACTATACCATTTAATGATGTATGTTTGGATATTATAAAGAGCTTTAATGTTGTTTGCAAAAATGGTCATTGAAAACCTGGGACTCTAGATGAGTGACATGTTTGCTCAGCTCGGGGAAAGCATAGCAGAGTTTTATTAATTCTGATTCATTGAGGGAAATGAGAAAGTTTGATGTGGGATGTTCTTTAGAATTTGCTCAATAAGGAAAATAAACTATCAGATTTACTAAATAGATTCTGTATTCCAGCTTTGGGAGTATGTGAGAACGACTGTTAATTAGTCAGTCAACTGTTTGCAAATAACACTTTTGATTCATATTGCCCTGATTACTAACGAGGTTGAGCGAATGTTTTCAAATGTTTATTGGTCATTTCAATATTTTTTGTGAAGTGTCTGTTCAAGTCTCTCATCCATTTTTCTACTGGGTTGTCTATTTTTTTATTGTTCACTTGATGTCTCTCCTGTATTTTCTGAATACCTAACTTTGTTACTTAAACATATTACAAAAATCTGTTCCCACTCTGGTTTGCCTTTTACTGTCTTAGCATTATCTTTTTTTTTTTTGAGACAGAGTCTCACTCTTTTGCCCAGGCTAGAGTGAGTGCCGTGGCATCAGCCTAGCTCACAGCAACCTCACACTCCTGGGCTCAAGCGATCCTTCTGCCTCAGCCTCCCGAGTAGCTGGGACTACAGGCATGCGCCACCATGCCCGGCTAATTTTTTCTATATATTTTCAGTTGTGCGATTAATTTCTTTCTATTTTTAGTAGAGACGGGGTCTCGCTCTTGCTCAGGCTGGTTTCGAACTCCTGAGCTCAAAACAATCCGCATGCCTCGGCCTCCCAGAGTGTTAGGATTACAGGTGTTGAGCCACTGCGCCCGGCCTTAGCTCTTTTGAGATCATAAGTTGTTAATTTTATGTAGCCAATTTGTCAAATATTCACTTTATGGCTAGTACTTTTGGTGTCCATTTTAAGAACTCTTTCCCTATGCCAGGTCATGAAGCTATTCTTCCAAATTATTATATATTCCATCAATCTTTATTGTTTCACCTTTCATATTTAGATCTCATTCCTGATGGCATTGATTTTGGGGCAAGGAGTGAGGTAGGAGATACATTTCATTTTTTCCGGTGGATATAAAATTAAGCACTTTTAAAGTGGTTTAGAAACTTGAAAACTGTTTATTTCAATGACTTTTAACTTTCACTATGCAATGTTTAATCTTTTAATTTATACTGTACTTGAAGAGCTTGCTACATGGGCAAATTTTATCAGTCCATCCTTTTTCCTTGTCATTAATACGACTGTTACATCTGAACTAATAACATTTAAAAATTACTAGTTAGTAAATAATTTTATACTTAAATTATTTAATCTGTCTTTTAGGAAGCTATTTATTTCAGTTTAGGTTCTTAACCATTTAAGGCATGTGGTCATTAATTGCTTAGCCCTATCTCAGTTATAATCACATGGTCAATGGACTGGATATTTTCTGGAACTATGTTTAATGACCTACTTTTCATGTTTTTCTATTCAGTGATTCATCTTAGAAATTATAAAATCTTTATCACATCATCTAAGCATGAAAAATGGAAAGGAATGAGGTATTAATAATAATTTTAGAAAGGCTATGTGTCAAAATTTTAATAAAAAGCATCTTATAACTTAAAAGAATAAAGGGTCCTCAAACCATTATCCCATATTGCTAATGATTTTCTTCTATAAATTTCCAGTCATGTTCAATTCTAGCAAGCTTGAATATGGATCAATACCAGTTTAGTGTAGGCCTCCTTTTATTTCTCTTTTGAGACAGAGTCTCGCTTTGCCACCCAGACTGGAGTGCTGGTGGTGCAACAGTGGTGCAATAGCTCACTGCCACCTCCAACTCCCAGGCTCTAGTGATTCTCCTGGCTCGGTCTCCCAGGTAGCTAGGAATACAGCCACGCGTCATCATGCCCAGCTAATTTTTCATTTCTATGTTTTCGAAGAGATGGGGCCTATGTTACGAAGGCTGGTCTCAAGCTCCTGGACTCAAGTAATCCTCCCACCTAGGCCTCCCAAAGTGCTGAGATTATAGGTGTGAGCCACTGTGCCTGACTCTTCAGGGGACTGGACTAGTCTAAGGTTATGTGGGATTCTAAATGCCTTGACATAATTAGGACAGTTATAAAGATACCTTCCTTGATTGGGTCCTTTTTGGACCTAGTGCCTTAAATTTTTTCTAGTATTTTTATATTTCTGGATTTTTTTAATGCCAGTTAGATTATTACACTAACACAGGAATTCTGTCTTATTTACCACTGTGTAATAGGCACCATGGCACTAGTATCTGTTATATAACAGGTGCTCAAAAGAATGTTTGTTCAGTAAATGAATGAACTTAGGATCTATGTAATAAACTACATATTCAGAGCTTAAGTAGCACATACGTCCCTGTAGCCTCAGGAATACGAAAGCACCCCTGGCCTATTTGGATTCCATGCGAGGCTCTTGGAATGGAAGAGGCCAAAATCTAAGCTTAAAGGTTAGGCTTCTATTGAACCACACTTAGAGCATAGCAAGCTTAAACACACACCCCCCCCAATTTAATTTCTGATATTTAATATTTTGTTTTAGGTCAGCTGAGTATTAAGTCATCTGAGGGCTTCCATAGTTCAGCAAAGTAAAAGAAATGGTTTGGGGAAACCAAGCATGGGAAAAGGAGACATAAGATGATAAATTAATGTCTTTGTCATTAAGGGCTCCCTGGTAGTTCCCACTTTGTTTCTCTTTGTGCATATATACATTTTGCAGAAAGTCAAAGAGATGAAAGTTTGGTTATATTCTTAAACACAGTGCTAAGATAAGAGAAATATTGGTTTTAGTATTTTACAATTTTATTCGAAACAGAGAGCAAGCTTCCGTGTAAACACACTTACATTAAAGAATAAATATGGATTCTCAAGTAAAGAATAAATAATATTTTTGTTACCTACAAGAATGCTTTTCTCTATGGGGCTACATAATTGGAGATTGGCCATCTAATGGGCAATTTTGGGGGAGTTTATTCTAATCGTTTTATGATCAAGGCAAAGAATACAAGCTTAGTTTAAATAATCAAGAATTTATAGAACACCTAAATATGTAGCATGGTATGAAACACATGGGGGATGGAATAAACTTTCAGTGTTTTATACATTTTGACTTTGCTGGTATAATTAAGTGCATCTAGAAAGAGAATCAGCTCACTATTTTGTAGCTGAATTTCTAGGACACAAAGGCACAGATGTCCTTTCCTATTCCACATTGCAGTAGACATCTGCTGTTTTTGCCTGCCCAGCATTTGTTCCTCCTTCCTCTGGTAATAACACTCTGATTTTCCACCAGGGAACTGCTCCTTCACCATTTTAGTCCATGTAGTACAAGTGGCGTGACCCTTGCCCAATCAAACCCATGTCCCTGAAGTTCACATGTGGGCATGTTACCCAGACCTGGCCAGTTAGAGCATCACAGCCTCATAGCCATAGGCACTGGTTCAAACTGGGCAAGAGACCCAAATCAGGCCAGTGAGGCACATTCTCTCAGTTCTTCACAGCACTATTGAGAAAACAGTATTTTTTTCTTGTGGGGACATTGGGCTGGTAAAAATGTAAGCCTGAAACAATTCTTGGCTCTCTTTGTTACCATCTGGGCAGAGCCTTTGAGAACAATGATCATAAAATCATTAGAATAAACTCCCCCAAAATTGCCTGTTATATGGCCAATCTCCAATTATTATTATTTCCAGCAGAGGAAAACAGAGCCCAGAGATGGAAACCGTCATAATGATAGTCACTGTAGCACCTACGTACAGTCATGGCAGAAGGGCAACTCACTCTGGGCTCTTCAGTTCCAGGAGCCAAGATATTCCTTTTTGTTTAAACCAGTGTGAGGCAGGATTCTGAAACTTGTAACTGACAGAGTACTGACCGATACAAATATCCATGAGTCTTTCACTGGCAGTATGACTTGGCTTCGCAGAAATTGAGGCCAAAAGTCTGGAAAGTTGAATCATTCTCTGATAATTCTTGAGAACTGCCTTGACTGAAGTAAAAAAACTTTTGCTCTTACCTCATTGTTTCATCTCTGAACTTAATGTAGTTTGTCTACAATGTCACTATTTTAAAAAGTGGAAAGACAGGCAGGATACTTACTGGTCCACTTCCTGCTGTGAGATTCTGCAGAGCTCCTAAAGATGCTTCCTGTGTATAGTTCCGGACACTCTTGGCGATCAAGGACAAATACATCCTTATCACGATGGAGTGCCACAGCCACTCCACACCCTTGGGGTTGCTCTTTTCTTCGGGCATCGGCACATCCTGGTATTGCTGACCCCACATGCAAACAGAATCCAGAATTAATGCACTGCAAGTGATGTCTGTAATTCCACACTCAAACCAAGAGACCAGAAATACTGTCTAAAAAGAATAATAATTTGCATAAGAAGCCCTTGAAATATAAATTTAAAAAGCAAATATATATAATTTCCAATTAACTTTTAGCCCACGATGATCATTTCTTCCTAATAACACTCCCTGCTCCCCGTGCCACCAACTTGACATTTCACAGTGAGAGAGAATTCAGAGAATTAAGCATAGGCCATTCTAGAGTGCTTTTCGGGCTGCTGTTAAGTTATTATAAAAGCTAAATTAGTCACAACCATCCTGAAGATAAGAAAAGCAGGCCTGTTCCCTCAGGGTCTAGGGAGGGTGTCCAGGATAACATCAGGGTTCTAAATTTACCAGTTGTTCTCCAAGTTCACAAACACTGTGATGCTCAGAGGAGTAGGGGAAGTCATATTCTTTCAGTTTTCACGTCAGTATGGAAATAAATGTGTATTCTTTACCATGGGATTTGCTTTTAGTATGTCCAAAGTTTGTTTTTAGAATGCCCAAAGCCAAATATCAGGGCTGCTTTTAATGTTAAAATTATTTCTGTACTACTGGCCATGTTGTATTAAGCTTATTTCCTAACCTATAGGGCATGCAGCAGCCCTATAGTTCAATGACTAACAGTGCAGATCTGGAACCAGATTGCCTGGGATTGACTTTGATTCCCTCTACTTATTTGCTGAATTATTCTGGGGAAAATTCATTAACCTTTCTACACCTCTGTTTCCTCATTGGTAAATGAAAATATTAATAATACACACTTCAAAGGACTGACATAAGGATTGAAAGAACTTAAAATAGTGTCCGACACATACTTAGTACTCAGAAACATACACACACACACACACACACACACACACACACTCTCTCTCTCTCTCTCCCTCTCTCTCGCTCTCCCATTTTTTCAAAGACCTCCCAATATACCTCTTTTACTTTCCTGCTGCGACTGCCAAAACACCCAATGCTTTTGTTGTTGTCAGTCTGGATATTCCGGTTTTGAATGTAGATACTCTGGGAATATTTCTCTGGGAGCTCTGCCTCCAGCTGGTAGGAGAGGTTATGAAGAATGCACACACAGTTCTCTGTGGCCTGGGACAACAGGACATGCAAACTGATCATACACATATAGGTATCCTTTGCAGGTATGTTATCACAGGGCGTAGGTTTTAGCTCTTACAGGGATTACTGAATGCAATTGGGTATGCTTGGACTGTGGGTTGCCTGGGAGAAGTGTAATGAGTGTGGCTAGAAAGGCTAAGGTTGGATCATGAATGGTCAGGAATACAACTGAAGCAGAGGCTGAATTTCTTAAAACAATAGAGAGCCTTTCTAGTTTACTTTATATAGAGAGTGTGTCCAGAATGACTCTGTATTTTAGATATATAACTTGGGGTAGCCATGTTGAGTTGGAGAAGAGGAAGAGATACTGTTTGCAGGAACCAATTAGGAAGCTATTGCAATAATCAGTGTGAAAGATACACAGACTGGGACCACAGCAGTAGCACCAGAGTGGAGTGGATGAATTGAAAGTCTTTCCAGAGATGGCATGTGTATGGTTTATACAGAGGAGTATACAGAGAAGGAGCAAGTTTGGGGAAGAGGGAAGAGATCGATTTAAGTTCATGGCTAACCATGTAGCATCTGGGCTCCTTTCAAATATCCACAGAATTGTTAAACAACAGGTAATTTGAAATTTGGGTCTAGAAAATAGAGAAATAAGGCTAAGGTAGATTTTAATATTTTAATTTTAGTATTTGTAAGCATGTATGGGAAATCTTATGCTCAGTAAACGAGTCAGTGAATAAATCTAAACCCAAGCAGCTACTTTAAGAATATTCTGAAGCATCTTAGTAAGACAAAATAGGTAACTCAATGTGTGAGATATTTAACTCTTGAATACCTTGTCATCTGGCTGGTAATCTGCAATGGTGCCTCTGACATAATGGACCAGTGAGTCAATGAGTCCATCACATCTTCTTATCACTTTCCTCCCATCAGGGCCAGCTGAACTCATGTTTCTATCAGGAAAAACATACAAAAAAACCATAATCTTAGGCCATGTATCTAACTGGCCTTTGTTTTGGAGCTTTACTTGATGTTTCTTCCAGGTGTTTGGAAACTGGCAAACTTGTAAAAGTGTGACAGATTGTCCTGTGGTCAATAAATCAACTGCCCAATGGTTACCAAATCTGGATGCAACTTGTAATCCATACAACATGTAACCACATCCTAAAAGTCTTCTGTCTACTTCACTCCAAGTACCAAAGTCAGTGTATTATTTACTTAATCTTCACCCCATTTTTGAAGTGTAGACATGAGAGTATAGATATGAGTTAGTATGCAACTAACAGAAGAATAAATGGTACATCAGACATTGTAATATACTGGATGTCTAAGTCCCAATTTGCTCCATATCTTACTTAACTCTAAATAACTTAAAGTTGCTCTTGACCTCAGTTTCTTCATTTTTAAAGGCAATGTATTGGACTACATTATTTTGGGGTTTTGTAGGTTTCGGTATAAACTATTATTGACAAATCGTAAACCAGGTGCTCTAAAATGTGATGATTCTATAATTAAAATGGCAGAGAGATGTTACAGAAAAGTTTCCAGTGTGTAAGACCCAAGTCAAAAGCCTGACCTATAAGTATCTCTGCACTTAGTCTATTTCTAATTTTGTTAAGCCATGACACCTTTCTATAAACAGTAACTGAATCTATAATTGGAAGTTGCTTCCTTACAGAGACATGAAGCTTATCAAATATAGCAACATAATGCATTTGGGGTTTACACTGCAAATTCAGATCATGTTTATGTTCTGCTATTCCTTCCTTTGGATTAAGTTTTTTTTGTTAGCATTAACCATTTTAAAATATTTTTTTTCCAAAAATGTTAATCTATCAGTCAACAAGAATGGCAAAAGAAGAGTGCCTTCAGCATTTTAGAACTTGAGAACTACCGCTATTCCCTTCTGCCAACTTTAGTTGCTAAGAAATGTTCTTATAAAATGTATCAGACCAGTTTCTTTTACTGGTAGGTAGGCTATCCAAAGTGTATTCAAGACTTTTTGTTTATAATGTCTCAGTTAGTGTCATTCTGAACATCAAAAATAACTGTAACTTTGAGACCTTTTTGGATCTTATTTTTTTTCATCTTTAAATAATATAATCATAGTGATTTCAGAAAGGATTTCTGCCCCAAAATACTGCTTTCAATGCATATCTGTCAAAGAAACAAACGTGTCCAGCATTAGCTAAAGGCAACAGGGGGAGCACACAATATTGTGCCCTGCTTCCATGGAGATCACATCTATAGGTTGAACTCTAGGAAACTGACAATACTTGACTGTTTTTAACCCACAAAAATGGTAGTTTCACTATTCAATGTAATAGTTGACAAGATAATACTAATACACCTAAAACCAAGAATATTAACAATTTTATGGTTGCTGAATTGACATAATGAAATTTTTGATTTTAACAAAATCCATTCTGTGACTCCGGTTCTCATTTTACTCTTCTAATTCAAGAATATCGTCCTTATTTTGTCTTTATTATACCTGAAAAAGTTCGAAACTTTGTCCATTAAAAAAAGATAATGAATGTGCTTATAAACTGGAAATAAAACCAGTTGTCCTATCGCTTTTTCTCAAGAAATGATCATTTAGAAAAAGAGTCTCTGTCTACTCAGGGAGCCCTTTAAGAATCATGGGACATAAGCAGCTTGGTAGAAACTGAAAAAGCATCTTTTGCACATGAGGAAAATGAAGTCCAAAGAATTTAAGTTACTTTTCCTGGTGACAGCAACTGAGTGGTGAATTCAGAAAGGGAGGGCTGATCTTTATTCCGTACCCTGGTGGCTCCAGAACAGAGCAAAGCCCATCTCACAATCGCTCAGCCTGCCATTTGCTTAGCAAATACCACACACCCCCAACTACAGGACACTGTTATCATGTTTTAAAGCTTCCCTCTGACCTTTTCAACCTCTGGCCTGGAGAAATGGCAGTAGTTTAGAATTGCTTTGAAAAATCAAAAGGTCTGTCTTTCTTATGAGTTAAGCCCACCACATACCTTGCAGATGGATGATTTAGTTTTGTTTAACTTCAGGGTGTTTATTTTGGGTCAGAATGGTAATTCAATTTGGCAGCACTGCCAGTTCACATGCACTAACTGTTGTCTTGTCATTTGGTATTATCCAGACTCTACTTGCTCGAAATGGGACTTATCAGGGGTTTCTGGCAGTTGATACCTTTGTTGACAGAAAGTACATGGAACCCCATTGCTTCAGTATTTGCTCCCGCATATCAAAAATACTTCACACCTTACTCGACTACACAGAAATACAAGTAAGGGTGGATTATTTTATACGACTACACCCATGAATAGAAATCATTAGACAGAAAGTAATTTGTTATTGTACCACTCTGAAAATAATATTTATAGAAAATGATACATATATCCATCTGAAAGTATTTTTTCAACAGCTAATATTTAAGCTTGTAGGAATCAGAAAATTAACATGGCTATACTTAGACAGAATTGATCTTTCTACAAGTATCTCCTGAATACTGAGAAGTATTTATTGATTACTGTTTCTTATATGTAATCCAAAGGAGGTTTAATAGAAAAAATGTCTCAAAACTAGAAATTAAATATACTGAAACAATTATCTTATTGAAAATTAAAAGACAATAAGCACACATAGTACTCAATAAAAACTGATTATCAAAGTTACCAATAGACCATATTGAAAATGTATAATATAGTGCCTATGGTTTGAATTTGATTAAATGATGGGTTTATTTCCCCTGGTATAATCTAGCCCACATCTGAGTAAATACACGAGTACATTTAAGTATACTAAAACTGTATACTGTTGTATACTGAAATTCAAAAACCAGGTCCTTAGACTGGGGTTGAAGACAAGGAGGGGTCAGGGCCTCAGGAGAGGGGAAGTAAAGGAGATGAGCCCTTTTCACATCAAGGCAGGACTGTTTTGGCTTCTTCACCTACACTGGGCCCAGATGGGAGGACACTAGCCTGACCTATAGCAGTGCTTGCTATTAGGGAGAATTTTTTAGCAATATGACGAGTATTGGGGGTGGGGGGCAAAGAAATAGAATCTGAACCTCTGTAAGTCTCTGAAATGGTAACAGAGCTTCACATATTTAGGAGGATTCAGGTGTTTTATCTGAAAGCAAATCTGTGGCTCCTGACTCTCTCCAGGACCACTTATCTCACACATTCCTGAGTGTCACAATGAAAAAGAGAAAAGAAAACAAAACGCCCCTGGACTTCGCTAAAACTAAGAGGAAGAATGGTATGTCTTTGTTAAGATTAATGACAGTATGACTAACCCTTAAATTCATATGGTAAACCAAAGAATGGGCAATGTTAAATGATAAAAACTGCTGCAATTTAGTGTTTGCACTAGACATTATGGTAGGCAATTTACAAATATCATGATTTGTAATTTTTATAAAATTGCTGATATTGGGGTACCCTAGAATTGCATTCTGGGAAATTCTGACTTGTGCCTCTCATTTAAAATCAGAATTAACTGCTTCTCATAGGATTTTTACTGGCCCTTCCGTACAAGGCTGTCTGTGTGTGGCTACATGCAGATGTCCTGTCAAATAGGCCTACTTTACTGGCACCGAAAGGAAATTTGCTATAAGCTCAATGTATAGCATATGCTTAACTGGCCTTTGGAAATAATGAGCTGATGGGGATGTTTATAGTAAAAGGCTATAGTTAAGTTACCAGGACACAAGAATGGCAGACAACAATGGGATTGTAGTGCATCTTTTCAAGACACTTCCCCCCAAAAAATAAGTAATTCTAAGACGTATAATTTTTTTTTTAATGGGGCTATTTCTACTTGATAATGGGTATGGTTTCCTAACATACAGTTTATAGGGTGCATCCTATACAACGCCTGGTGGCTGTGGGACTAGTCTTAAAGGTCTAACCAGCATACCGAGCTAGTGAATCACCTCACCCCAATGGTTTTAAAAAATTGTGGATTCACCTTTGTGTTCACCAACAATTAAAGGCTTCCTAATACTGTGTGATTTAAAGTGTGGGGTAAGGCCCCAAGAGGTACCAGTCAATTAAGCATTTGGTAGGCAGAGTCAGAATTCATTCCAAGACTGAGTAGGTCCTTGATAAGACACTGGGTGATAAGGAGACATCCTTCTTCCTCTCGGTATTTGAGATTTAGGTCTGGGCTTTTGTTTAACTCTCAACTGATACATATCAAACAGTTGGGTCTTGTCTGTGACTAACCAAGAGAAATAGCAAAGGAGCTTGTGGTTGCACACAACAAAAGGGGAGCCTCATTTGAACTGGCAGAGGAACAAAAACTCTATGCAAAAAGGAGGGCTTGCTTGTTACACTGAAGTCAACATGAGTTCCTGAAGGTATCAGCAAACACCAGCCAAAGTCAACTGTTTAGTCTGCAAACAGAGCAACAATGGGAGGTAGAACAAGATGCTACAAACTACGCATCTCGTTCCTTTCAGGACAAGCAAAATTAGACGAACAAAGATACGTCAGCATCTATTCGTATCAAGAAACTAGAAGGTGGTGGAGAAAATCTAACCTTAAAAATCCTTTATCTCTGCTTTCCTGCATTTTTGGGTCTTTCAAAAGCATTCTGAATAGGCAATTCAGGAAGTAATCATCTGGTTGGTAGGCTACATTCATTTTCTCTTAATTTAGCCGGAACAGGTTGTTCAAGGCAGGGTGCCAAATTTCATTTAACATCAATTATAAACAGCAAACTGTAATTTTAAAAATACATCTAGGAGCCACTGCTACTTGAATAAGCATTCTTGACATCTACAGAAGATGTCTGGAATGACAGACTAAGATTAATGAAGATATTTAAGGCTTAGACTAGAATAATATATCGCTCAGATAGTTTGTACCTCTAAGATAGGCACAGATTTCAACCACAGGACAGTAAAAAATGTCATCAGTTGCTTTATCCAGACATAGCAACCTGCTCATTTTTT